AGGTGTTGATGGGTCACGGTTAGGGTTAGGGTCAGATGATTTCAGTTGTTTGTCTCCATCAGGATGTTCCTGTGTGAGCGTCAGAGGAGAGTTTCCCACAGTACGGTCTGCCAGGAACATCCCACTGATGGGGGGGGGGGGGGGGGGCTGGAACGGTAACAAGCCAATGATGAGTGGGCGTGGCCATACAGACTGATACACATCTCAGCCAAGCAGAGAGAGACGATAAGAACACAACGGTTCCCAGAGGAGCTGAGGGGCGTGTTTCCATTAACCCGAGCTGACAGGAGGGTCAGCGTGAGACTCTAGATCCTCTCACTTCCCACCTTCCTCTCCACCGACACCAGCCCAGAACCTTGGATCAGAACCTAAACCCACTAGATCAGTGGCCACCAACCTGGTGCCCCCAGGAACCACTGAAGGTGGCCACAGGCATTTTCTACAAACAGCTCAAGACTAAAATAAAGGAAAGAGGAGGATTTGTGATATTTCTAGGTCAAAGGTCGCTGCTGTTTAAATCTGCAGCCCCTCGGGTGGCTTCGTACCCACGAAGGAGCTCAGTTTCACAAATGTTGGTGACTCCTGCTCTAAAACCACACCAGTTACTCAGCAGCTTATAAATGACTCAGCATTCTGCCCCAGACGCGCTTTCTCTCACTAGCAGGGAGAATTCACCTGGAGGTCAGAGGTCAGTCTGAGATCCTGGTTCCAGTAGGAGTTCCTGGTTCCAGTAGATGAGATCCTGGTTCCAGTAGATCAGTGTTTGCCAACCGCGGCCCTCAGGGCACACTGACCTGCATGTTTTCCATGTTGCCCTTTTAAACACCAGTGCTTCCCTGCTGCCACACATCAAACTTAAATGAGTGAGTGATTAACTGGCATCTGCAGCACTCGATGCCCTCCTGAGGAGGCAGTTTAAATCGGGTGTGCCGGAGCAGCTTGTAAACAAAATATGTAATTAATGTTATCGCGTGACTGCGTGTGAATCCAGACGAATGCACGAGAGAGTCGGCGGCCCTGAAACCGCTGGATGGACAACTCTCCCCACATGTTTTAAAATTGATGATATAACGTTTCTGCTACGCTAAACGATGACTTCTATGTAGAGCTACAAAGTCCAACTGGGGCAAGAGAGTAGGCCCGCTTTGTGGAGTGGGTGGAGTTTGCAGCTCCTCCAGATTTAAAGAGACAGTACCCAAAAACGGCTGGTTCCCAGACTCTCCTCAGAACAGGGGCAGACGAGGGTCTGTGGAGCAACAATATTGAGGAAATCTGACCAGCGGACTGCAGTTCTACTGTCTGTAGACCCCAACTGAAGGATTTAGATGTAAAAAGGACGAATTTAAAAGGATGATGTGTCTCCTTTAAATGAGTGATCAACAGGCATCTGCAGCACTTGATGTCCTCCTGAGGAGGCAATGTAAACCAGATGTGCTGGAGGAGAGACGTGGAAAACACGCAGGTCGGTGTGCCCTGAGGTCCGGGTTTGAAAACGCCGCACTTGATGAGTTCCTGCTTCCCGTAGCTGACTTCTTGGATCCCGTAGATGAGTTCCTGGTCCCACCCGATGAGTTCCACCATCACAGCAGCGCAGAAAGCTGATCCCAGCAATCGGCACGGCGGTGGAGTGATGATGGTTTGTGCTGATTCTGCAGGACTCTGAGTCCACCATTAGCTCCTCTAGGTGCCAAAGTCTTCTGGAGTCTGATTCGTAGGGTGAGTCCAGCGGTTTGGAGCTTGGACTGAACCGGGTCATTAAACAGAGCCATGACTCAAACTACAGCCGTGGATCTACAACAGGATCGAGATGCTGCAGTCAGAGACCAGACCAGAACCCGACCCCATGTCTGCCAAGCAGAACTCCTCCAGAACCGCGTGAGAGGCTGCTGCAGGAGGTTCTGCTGTAGCAGCAGGCGGACTCGTTGCTGTTCTGGTGTTTCGTGGCTTTTCTCTCTGACTCACAGCATTTTCCCTCCCGTCGGCTCAAACATTTGATCTGATTCAAGGTTTTAAACAGTCTCTAAATCTTGATTTTAGAAGGACAATAAAAGCCGTTCTGAGTCTGAATGAAACGGACTCTCTGGATTTTCTGGAGTCTTGGACTGAGATGAGAGCATCTGTAATAAAAACAGAAGTGAGTGTTTTTCTGTCAACAGCTGATCGGATAAACGTGTCGGTGGAGGAAGGTGGGAAGTGACGAGGATCCAGAGTCTCACACCGACCCTCCCGTCAGCTCGGTGATGGAAACACGCCCCTCAGCTCCTCTGGGACCTGTTGTGTTGTTCTGACTGTCTCTCTCTGATTGGATGAGATGTTTATCAGTCCGTATGGCCACGCCCCCTCATCATTGGCTTGTTAGGAGTGGGACCAACCCCCCCACCAACCCGCCACCCCCAGTGTTTAATCATTTGTTACCAGAAACCTTTGGCAGCTGAAAACATTTTAACTTTTTTATTGTCTGAATTTTTACTGTTTCTCTTCATGTTTTGCGTGTAGATTTAGAGAAAACACGACTTTTCTATTTCTCTACAACCTCAATAAAGATTATTAAAATGATTTATTTTAACCCTTTCATGCACGACTCAAAAGCCTCAATCAGACGTTTCCTCTAACTGTTTGAATTCATCATTAGGCGTGAATACAACTGTTTTCTTGGCCGTGTCACACATCTCGCCACTCAAGAGGCTGAGCTGAGGGAACCATTGTTTCCAGCTACAAGCTAACCAAAGCTAACGGGGGTTTGCAGATACATGCAGTTGAGCAGCTCTGACTCGAAGCAACCATCAACTCATCAAGCTGCTGAATTTCTGTGGTCTCCCTCAGAGAGCTCCACAGGCACAGCCTCAGATCACAGCCAGCAGATTCGGGCCGCACGAGGCCACGCTCCTGCTCCTCCCCAGCGGCTGGAGGACAGCGAGGCTAAAGCCCTGGTGGTGGAGCTGGGATAGCGGGGCTGCCACCGCTGCAGCTCTGTCCGAGAGCCTCCCAGCCCTACCAACGCGTTATATCTCACCCCCCTTTGACCAAGCAGTGGTAAGCCTGGTTTACGCTTTCCGTCAGCTCCACGAGGGACAGAGACGCTTTGCTCTCCGACTTCTCCGTCTCCTGGCGAGCCTGCAAAGCAATTCCCCTCCAGGACAGCAGAGGGCACAGCTGCGGTATCCTGTCATGTATCTGGTCCAAGGTTGGGTTGATATTCAGTTTTTTGTATTTCTGAGAGTTTTTAACACGGACACATTTGTCCCTCATTGCCCTCCACCTCTAAACCCACGTTTCCCCTCGTCTCCGTCTACAAGTAAAACACTTGCGTGTCTTGTTACTCCTCCAGTCACGGGTGGATAAACATTCATACTTTTAGGGTTCTCCCACAAGGCTTTCTTCAAGCTGCTCCGTGTCTCCTGCTAGAAAGAAAGCTTCAGCTTTCTTTATGTTTTTGTGAGCACACTGGCGGTGTTGTTGACAAAATCGATGTTCTGACCAATCACAAGCTTGCATTCTCGGTCTCCTTCGACGGATGTTTAGAAAAGTGGGCTCGAGTCCCTGCTGGAGAGCCCTTGCAAGAAGGCGTTTTGTGTCTTCGTACCGTCGCACACACACAGAAGCATCAGGCTTTAAGTTAAACGTGTAGCATTTTTACATTTAACCAGCAAAATATAGTACAGGAATATGAGTTTGCCGTATTTACCGATAACAGCGCGCCCTTTTTGTCTGAATAATTCCATGATTAACATCCAAACACGAACACACAGAGGACACAAATAATGTTCAGAGCAAAAATGGCCCAACATTTATTAACGTGAGGCTGGAACCTTCCCTGGAGCTAGCCACTAGCGCTAGCTCTGACAGCTAATGCTAGCTCTGATGGTCCTGCTTGGACAGTAGCTCAGGAGGTAGAGTGGGTTGTCCAGTAATCAGAAGGTTGCAGGTTCAATCCTGGCTCCCAGCGGAGAATGCTGCTGTTGTGTCCTTGGGCACACTTAGCCCACCTTGTCTGCTGGTGGTCAGATGGACCGGTGGCGCCGGGGCTCGGCAGCCTCACCTCTGTCATTTCACCGCTGGGCGGCTGTGGCTACACCATCAGTGTGTGAATGTGTGTGTGAATGAGTGAATGATTCACTGTAGTGTAAAGTGCTTCATTGTTTATTATTTTGGAGTTCTCTGACTCTGAAGGGCGTTGTACAAGTTTGGGTTATTTCTCATTTACGTTATCTGATTATTCTTGATTTCAAGCATTTAATTACACCTGAACTAAAGAGTAACAACAACATCAGCCCCTCTGAGCTGTCATGACCGTAAACTAGATGTATTAAAGCTAAAAGGTACCAGGCTGTCAACATGTTTATTTCTGCTGTAAAGTTGGCTTTTTTTAACATGGGAGTCAGTGAAGATTTGCTCTGGTTTGGATCCAGCCCCTAGTGGATGAGGGCGGAACTGCAGCTTGTCTCACTTCTGTGTTGGCTTCAGAACCTTCAGACTATGATGCACGTAGATGTTTCCACAAGATCTCATTCAGTCAGAATGATGGCAGTAAAAGCTGTTTATAATTCAGACAGCTTTAAATTTTGTGTTTTATGTTATTTTTTGGTTGTTTGGTGAAAAAAACCAACAAAAATCCATCTCCATGTTTATTCCTTCCTGCTTTGATAAAATAAATAAATAAATAATACATAACCCATCCCAGAGCGTTCTTGTCCAACAACAGTTCCTGTATTATAGAAAACTACCAACTTACAAAGAAGTCCAGCAAATAACTCAAAATTAACTATCGTAACAACACAGAGAATGTTTAATCAACCTAACTGAATTGCTTCAATTGGTAACAAGCAATTTAATTAAGTTTATCCAACCTGAATTATTAAAATTGTACTAATAATTTAAGTTGGATAAACTTAATTAAAGTGCTTGTTACCAATTGAAGCAATTTTTTAAGTTGGATCAACTTTTTCTTTTTACAGTGTATGATCACAATTCTAGTTAATGAAAGAAAAAGAACCAATTCCAACAATTTATAATGTTTATTATCGTAGACAATAAATAAGAATCTTATTGCTCCAGACATGTAAGGTCGTGTTGTGAGTTCTCATTTACCTTGACATGTTTCGACCGACGACTGCGGTCTTCATCAGAAGTGTCACCGATGTTTGCGTGACGCGTCTTCATCAGCTGTTGAGCGGCCCAGAGCTGACAGATCTGGGCCGCTCACGCCCACCCAGTAAGGTAAACGAGAACTCACCTTGCCTTGTTCAGAGCAAAAACTATCTAATTAATTACAACGCTGATGAATCGACAAAATCTTAATTTATTCATCTGTTTGTTTTCACAGGTAAAAAAATCTCAGTCAAAGATAGAAACTAAGCAGAGAAACAGACATAAAAAGGAGGTTTTACACATGAATGGAAAGTTTTAAGGCACCAAAGTTCCTTTAAAACAAAGGAAACAGAATCTGGTTACAGGATCTTCTGCTGGACCGCAGAACTTCAAACTTTTCTTCTAAAACTTTAGACCACAAATAAATGTGAATATCACACGAGACGATTCTCTGACTCAGAGCGTCACCATCATCACCACCATCATCATCATCACCACCATCATCACCACCATCATCATCATCACCACCATCATCACCACCATCATCATCATCACCACCATCATCACCATCACCACCACCATCATCACCATCATCACCATTCTAGGAAACTCCCATCGTTCTAACTCTTATATTTAAGGATGTTTTTCGCTTATTGAGATTTCATGATATGTTCTAAGAGTTGTTTATTTATCTTTGTAAACAACTCTGATACGCTCTGTTGCTTTTCAGCCTTGGTGGTCAGCTTGGCTCCTTCATAACTCCTCATCTGGATCGCAGGTGGAGGTGCTGCAGTCCGGTCTGCTCCTCCATCAGACCATCAGAGTCTCCTTCATTTGAGCTTTGGCAGCTGTAGTTTGGTGACAGCGCCCCCTGCAGTCCATCCTCTAACAGGTTCCCAGCAAGGCCCTGACGGTCCTCATGGTCCTGATCGGTCAGGATCTGGTCCAGGAAGCTGATGTACCTGAGGGCGAGGCGCAGGATGTCGTTTTTGCTGAGCTTCCTGTCAGGGGGATGGGTCGGGATGAGGCGCCGCAGCTCGGCGAATGCCCCGTTAACATTCAGCTGCCGCCATCGCTCACGACTGTTAGTGAAGATCCGACGGACGACCCGGGGACGGGAATCTAAAAGAGGAGGAAGGAAGCATCAGGAACACACAAAGAAGAACGTGTTTTAAACAAGTTTAACAAAACTTTTGAGGATGAAGCGCATGATTGGGTGGGGTGTGGGGTTAAAGGTCACCCCGCTCTCTGCTGGATGAACCAGTTTAACCAGTAATACCCCCACAAGTATCTGATGCGTCTGTCTGAGCTCTACCTCTTCAACAAGATTAGTTTGTTCTTCAGATCCTGTAAATGCCTTCTGCCCTCTAGTGGAGCATCTACGTACTGCAGGTGGCAGGAGCAAACTCAGGTGTGTTTGAATTAAAGTAAATAAATAAATAACAGATTATATATAACTAAAGTTAGGAACGTTTACAGTGATTAACCAAAGTGTAGTTTAGTCACGGCGGCTCAGAAATAAAGAAAAAAGAATCAGAGGATCACACCACGTGACCTCTGGGGGAAGCTTCCTTGACTTTCTTTAGTTTTTAAACTTTTGAATAAGTTCAGATGTGACGTCAGACTCACCATCACTCAGCCTCCGTTCACGAGCAGCTTCTCTCTGCCTGGGTGTGATCCAGGATTCGGGATCACTGCAGAAACACACACACATAAAATCAGAACCAGGAGGTCCACGAGCCGCTGGTTCCGGATCCCCTGATCTATAAGGACGGACTGATCTGATTGGTTGGTCAGCAGAAATCACCTTTAGCTCATCAAACCTCAGAAACGCTCCAGTAAAACCACCCAGAACTTTTTCTCACCTGTTGCAGGTGTAGAACTGATGCTCGTCCTCGTTTAGCATGCCGCGCCCAGCCATGAAGTCCGGTTCGGATCAGCAGACAGTCTGGACTCACCGGAGCTGCAGAGTCCGTCTAAAACGGTTCTGATCTCTGCTCTTATACCGACCGCCGAGCCCCCTAGCCCCCTCCTGCGAGAGTCGTGACGCGTTGTTTCCATGGAGACCCGGGAGGTCCTGACGGACCCATTAGCGGACTCATTAGAGGAAGCAGCCCCCCAGGGACCCGCAGGGGCCAGGAGCCGCGCCTCCCTTGTGCCCCATGCCGCGGTCGTGTCCCCCCCCCCCCCCCCCCCCCCCCACACACACACACACACACAGCCGACCTGTCACGACCTCCTTAATACGTGTGTTTCCTTTCCTTAAGGAGAGTTTTATTTCTTTCAAGATCTAAAAGCTCCTGGTCTGGCCGGGTGGGGAACCAGAACCACCAGGTGACCCACCTGAGCCCAGCGTCCTTCCTGCCCAGGCCAAGAACTAAACAGATAAAAAATCAGGAGCAAATCATGGAAATCTCATCAAAATTTGAATAAATTCAACTGAGCAGAAAACTAGAAGAATAAAATGTGGGTTGTTGAACATTAATTTTTCTAAGACTTTGTTAGTTAATGACTTCATTTGTGATAATCAGATCTCTTTGCTCTCTCTCACAGAACCCTGGCAGCAGCAAGAGGACTACGTTAGCTTAAATGAGTCGACTCCTAATTATCTAAATCATCATATTGCTCCAAGTACAGGGCGAGGATGAGGATTAGACATAGACCTTGTGCTGACTTATGGCATAGCGTGTGAGGAAATAACAATCTTTCCACATAATCCAGTCCTCTCGGACCACTTTCTGATAACCTTTGAGTTTTTTATAACTGAGTTCTCGAGACATGAAAGTAAATTTCACTATAGTCGGTCTCTATCTGACAACGCAGTTGCGTCTTTTAAATCAACTGTTCCATCTTTACTGTCCTCAGCATCTCAGAGGAACGTAGCAGAGGGCAATATTTTCAGTTCTAGCCCCTCACAAATTGATGCCTTAGTTCATCATGTTAATTCCTCTTTACGTGTGGCATTAGATGATGTTGCCCCTTTAAAGAAGGTAATTAGGGACAGGAAGTTGGCTCCCTGGTTTAATTGTTATTTATGAGCCTTAAAACAAAACTCTAGGAAATTGGAGAGAACATGGCGCTCTACGCACCATGAGGAGGCCTACCTATCCTGGAAAAATAGTCTTGTGCTTTATAAAAATAAGCGTCGACAAACTAGAACTGCATATTTTTCAGCATTAATTGAGGAGAATAAGCATAATCCTAAATTTCTTTTCAGTACAGTTGCTAAACTTACACAGAATCATAGCTCTGAGCCATCTATTCCCTTAGCCCTCAGCAGCAATGACTTCATGGGATTTTTTACAAGTAAAATTAATTCTTTCAGAAACAAAATCTTTAGCATCCTCCCTAATGCGATTTCTTCTTCCTCAGTAAGTGAGGCAGCATCAGAGGTGACTGTAGAACCTCATCTGTGCTTGAACCGTTTTGATCCAGTTGAGCTTTCAGAGTTATCAAAAATATTAGCTTCATCTAAACCTTCAACTTGCATTTTGGATCCAATCCCAACCAAATTATTTAAAGATGCATTTCCTTTGGTTACTGCCCCCATTCTAGATATAATCAATCTATCCTTAGTAAATGGGTATGTACCACAAGATTTTAAGGTTGCTGTAATCAAACCTTCACTTAAGAAGCCTTCTCTGGATCCAGATGACCCAATGAATTATAGACCAATATCTAACCTTCCATTTTTATCCAAAGTCCTGGAGAAAATAGTGGCCATCCAAGTATGTGAGCATTTAAACACTAATGCTCTGTTTGAGGAATTTCAGTCTGGTTTTAGAGAGTATCACAGCACTGAAACTGCATTAGTGAGAGTTACAAATGATATTCTCATGGCCTCAGATAAGAATCTTGTGTCTGTTCTAGTCTTGTTGGATCTCAGTGCTGCCTTTGACACAGTTGATCACAATGTTCTTTTAGAAAGACTTGAACATGTTGTAGGGATCAAAGGAACAGCGTTAGGCTGGTTTAAATCCTACCTGTCTGACAGATTTCATTTTGTAAATGTACATGAAAAATCTTCTTCATACTCCAGGGTTACTTGCGGAGTACCACAGGGTTCAGTGCTTGGACCAATTCTTTTTACTATATATATGCTCCCAATTGGTAAAATCATTAGACAGCATGGGATAAACTTCCACTGTTATGCTGACGATACTCAGTTATATTTATCCTTTAACCCTGATTAACCTAATCGGTTGGGTAGATTACAGGCTTGTCTTGAGGACATAAAAAATTGGATGACTCTAAACTTTTTGCTTTTAAATCAAGACAAGACGGAAGTTCTCATATTTGGACCAGAAATCAAGAAAAGGAAATAGCTTAGCCAATCGCCTGACCTGAATGGCATTACATTAATCTCCGAGAACAAAGTAAGGAACCTTGGTGTTATCTTTGGGGCAGCAGTAGCTCAACAGGTTGAGCGGGTTGTCCAGTAATCGGAAGGTTGCCGGTTCAATCCTGGCTCCGGACAGAGAATTCTGCTGTTGTGTCCTTGGGCAAGACACTTAACCCACCTTGCCTGCTGGTGGTGATCGGAGGGACCGTTGGCGCCTGTGCTCGGCAGCCTCGCCTCTGTCAGTGCTCCCCAGGGCAGCTGTGGCTACATTGTAGCTCATACCCGCCAGTGCATGAATGTGTGTGTGAATGGATGAATGATACACTGTAGTGTAAAGCGCTTTGGAGTCCTTACTCTGAGAGGCGGGTCATTCGTTTGACCAGGACATGTCATTCAAATGTCTGGTTAAACAGGTTTGCAGGATTTCCTTTTTCCACCTTCGGAATATTGCTAAGATTAGAAGCATCCTTTCCAGGAGTGATGCTGAAAAACTAGTTCATGCATTTATTACATCAAGACTGGATTACTGTAATTCATTACTCTCAGGAAGTCCACAGAATGTAGTTAAAAGTCTTCAGCTTGTCCAAAATGCTGCAGCTAGAGTTCTGATGAGAATTAAAAAGAGAGATCATATCTCTCCTGTCTTAGCTTCCCTACATTGGCTACCTGTTAAATTCAGAATAGATTTTAAGATCCTTCTTCTCACATATAAACAGTGTTGGGAACGTTACTTTAAAAAAGTAATTAGTTATAGTTACTGATTACATTGTCAAATAAGTAACTCAGTTACTAACTGAGTTACAAGATCATAAAAGTAACTAATTACCAACTAAAGTAGCTACTTAGTTACTTTTTCATTAAAGAATGCTAGAATTACTACAATAGTAAAATATAAATGACTAATGACTGGAACATAATAAAATGTCCAAATGTTTTTATAAACCTGAATAATTTAAACAAATAAGCACTTAACAGGAGGAACTACTAATAGGAACATTACACTAATCTAGACTATTTAAAGGTCACTGTGTGATATTTAACAAGACCCCAATCAGCTAAAAGTTAAAATTGCAAATAGAAACACCTGTAAAGGTTCATGAGCCTTTAAATGGTCTCTCGGTCTAGTTAAATTACAGAAATAAATGTAATTTTGTACAGTATTCTAATTTTTCCAGCTTCACATAATTGTGTGTTTTTAGCAGCATTTCTGTTGCTGGTAATCTAGTCATGGTAAAATAAATAAATAAAAACCTTTAAAATGACACTAGAAGAGGCACGAGCCTGATGGAGGACTTACATTTACTAACGTGGGTCAGACCCAACCACAGAAGAGCTGCAGCTGGGTGGTGAACACACACAGGTAGTTCTGATGACACCTTAGCTCCATGACATCTGAGACTGATGCATCAGTGTTACAGCGGGACTGAACACATGATCAGAAACAGGTTACAGCTGGATGATCTAGGACGGTAGAAGATCAGGATGTCTGAGCGGGGAACAGGTGAGCGGACCTTCGGGACGTCCCGCTGTCACGCTAAGGGCACGGCTGCAGATCCACACCTGCAGCCGTAGATATTCATCACGTCTTCCTCGTTCTTCACGGGCCGTGATGCTCTTAAACATCTACCTCTTTAGCTCCTGATCAGCTGATGACAGCTTCAACACACCGTGCTGCTTAATGCACGCATTTTCTTATCAGTAACAGAAACGATCGTTTTGATAAAAAAAGACGTAATTAATTAATTTGCTCGTTACTGAAAGAAATATTTTTTATTAACGCGGTTATTTTAAACGGAGTTATTCCCGTCATTGCTTTGTTGTGTCTCCAGCAGCAGCGACTGAGACAGTGAGAACACTGAGGGTCTCCGCCCACCCGGCCAATCATCGTGTTTGTAAGTGCGTTGCCGACCTCTCTCTCCCTGGCTGCAGCTGAAGTGTGGCGGTCAGAAAGCCTCACACTGCTGCTCAGCGTTCGACAAGCACATAGTAACGCACAACCTTCCGTCCCCAGTAACGGTAACGGCTTTGCAACGGCAGGAAAAGTAATTAATTAGATTATTCCGTTACCTATAAAAGAACGCCGTTAGAAATGCCGTTATACTTAAACGGCGTTACTCCCAACACTGCATATAAAGTTCTTAATAATCAAGCTCCATCATACATCAATGACCTGATTGTTCCATACATTCCTAACCGAGCACTTCGCTCTCAGACTGCAGGTCTACTGATGGTTCCCAGAATATCTAAAATTAGGATGGGAGGCAGATCTTTTAGTTATCAGGCTCCTCTCCTGAGGAACCAGCTCCCAGCTTTAGTCCGTGAGGCAGACATCTTGTCTACTTTTAAGACTAGGCTTAAAACATTTTTATTTGATAGGGCCTATGGTTAAAATCTGATGTTAGCCTAAATCTGGACAAGTGGGGGAGTAGAGGGAGGTGGAGTGTACAGTCGGTAAAGACGGCTCTCCCTTGCCCCGCCTCCAACATGCCTCCATCTAAATAGGATAGATTATCCAGAGTTATCTCTGTAGTTATGCTGCTATAGGCTTAGACTGCTGAAGGATACACTGACCACTTTCCACTCTCGACTACTTTCTTCTACTATCTGCTCTTTAACTGTATTATTTCCTGCTATTTCAGCTGTTAACTTTATTTTTCTCTAAGTGTTTTTCTCCCCAGAAGAAGCTACAACGATGTTATGCTGAGCTGTGGTGGCCTCATGGAGGAAGCCATCGTCTAGCACACTGCTGCTAACCACTTAAACATTCTCCC